AAAAAAATTAATTAACTGTCGTGCAGTGGCTGCTGTCACCCGCTTAATTTGGCAAAAATTATATCAAGCTTCAAAGCTTATTTTATTTGAGCATGAGTTTATAAGCAAGAAAATTAAATCACATACTTTCTAACCGAATTTCAGCCAAATTTTGTCATAACATGGTTCAGTAAGGGAAAGCTCGCTTTAGACAAACAATATGAGCTAAATATTTAATCCTATCTCATCCAATTGGAGTGGTTTGAACGATAACAGGGGAAACGCCTCAGGGTGACTCCCTTTTTGGATAAAACAACAGTCAACTCTATCAACTCCGATAATCTGCTAATACATCGCTACTAAATGATATGTTCAAGACTATGCAAATATGGCTGTTTGATTTTGAGAAATCTTTATTCGAAAAAAATTCCCACCAGTTTCTATTGAGGATGAAGCTACGCAATCATGTTATTGTGAGAAAAGTTAGGGGTTGAGAGACTTCAAATAGACTTCTGAGCTCAACTCACTTATTATAATGTATTACGATGAAAGGCGTCAATTAGTTTCCTTTTTTTGAGTTTCAAAAATTATAAAATCTAACATTATCTGTACCGGTATCAACTTCAAGTGACGATATTTTCTCTAATAGTAATAACACTGCTACATATACTGTCAACTGATCAAAATTCCAGAAGTTTCGATTCGATCCTAATTTATGCATAGTTCTTTAGACCAGAATATCATTCAAAACAAGAGAACGAGATTGATGGAATCAAACTACCAATTTCCATTTTTTTCCTCTACTACTGAAAAGCTTGCTTAAATCATTAATTTTCTTGATTATACCACAACTTTATAGCTCCAGCAATATTATACAAATATCTTACCAAGAATGGATGGCACACTCCTAGGAATCGATGTACCGATACCAAAATTGTCAGGTAAACGGACATAGTGAGTCCAGTCTGTGCTAATGGATAGAACCACACTATCAGTACAGCGGAATTTCGCATTAAATCTGTAAAATTACGAAATCGAGGGAGTAAAACCACTGTGTGAAGGTAAAAACTCACCGATATCGTCAACCGCTTCAGCATAGACGGGAACAGAAAAGACAAAGAATGAGGCGATGAGTACGGTAAGATCGCTGAGGGATAGAACGAGGAAAAACCAATTTACTGGTTGGCTTCGCATCTGAAAT